ATTCAAACAAAAAATGCAATGAAAAATATGCGGGAAATAAGGTCACAATACCAACCCATTTGCCCAATCTTTTAAAACTGTGACAGAAATTTGTAGGGACGAGAGCTCCGAGGATTCAAGTTAGATTCTTATGTGCATAGTAAGAGACAAAATAAGTGACTTCTCTCGCTACAATGATGCTACCTGTATAGATGTCGCAGCTATTTAAAGCTTAAAACAGAGCACCACCTTGCCAAATAAATCTTCTTTTTTCTTTTACTGATAGTGTTAAACATGAATCCGTTCTAGATACGTCGTTAAATCCACTCTTATGTTCCCAACCGGAGATTTTGGTTGGGACACCTAATTCAAACACGCCTAAAACAGAACATATCGTAGAAATAATTTAACAATGCTATAGTACGTGTCGTACTGGTTGGCGTCAAGAGCAGGATTTGGCTTGCTACATTAGGTCTGAAAAGCTCACTTTACAGTGTGTGGTTGACATATCTACGTTCTCATAGAGGGCACCCACCTACAGTACATAAGAAATAATCAAAGCAGTATGAGAACGGATCTATATTTTAAACCGTAGATTACTTTTATAATTTTTTATAACATAATATTTTTCACATTTATATAATCAGTCAGAGAAATTACTATAGAGTGACTATTATTGAGGTTTTGTTGTTTATGTTTTTTCTTCTTCATTATTTTATTACAAGTTGCAGTTTTGCTCGATTTCGAGCAACAGGTTATCTAGTTGTATAAAAACAATTAACACTGATTTACAAATCCTCCATGGGAAAAATAGGCTTCAAAAAGTGAAATTTATTTGGTTGCATTGCTTGTTTTTAAACATTTTTTTCACCCATATGGGTACAAATTAGGCTGATTATGATAATAAACAAAATAAAAGATTGGAAAATGTTGATCAAAGTGAATTTGGTTTCATTTTTGTAACATAAGTAGGTAAAAAGATATGTTTGTTTACGTTAACGTCTGCAAACTCAAAAATCGCCGTTCGCTGCAAGACAAAAATGGCCGCTACAAAAAAAATGGGAAGGGATGAAAATTTTATTAAATAATTTGTGAACTTCCAAAACATGAGAGGACGTTAAATAAAAAAATATTTAAAATGGTCAAGCAACCAAATAATTTATTTTTGGATCACTTGATATGGATTGACCATTCCCCGTAGCAGCAAACCTAAGCACTCGTCAAATCTAATGTTATTTAAATTGGGCATTAATATGTCTTATTTATGGAAATATTTAAGTAAAAATTTAATCAGACAAGTTGAAATTCGCTTAGTCTGCAGGTTTGCTGCGGTGGGGGTATTTTCAGTTTTTCATCTGCTTTTGTACTCTCCAGTAATGGAAAACATCGGTATCTCAATACTTGGCCAAAAACATCGATGTAACAAAAACATTGGTAACCTTACCATTGATGTAAAAACCATTGAACATCGAAGTTTCGAAAACATCGACTATCTCTTATCCCTACAAAATATATCCATAAACAAGCAAACTACAACATTTTACAACATTCTCCATAAGAATAACATGGTAATTTTAAATTTAGAATTTTTAGAATTTTCTCCGTCTGTTATCAATAACCGTACAAAAACACTTTCATATAGGGTGACTTGCCCAGTGAATGACCGGTTAAGGGTAAAATTCTTTGTTAACTTAACAACGCTCTTAAATGAGAATTGTATATATTATTACACCTACTTCTTGGTTGCTATTTAAGGGTTTGCCCTATATCATAAATTGTCCATAAAAGATCAATTATGCATGTAAAAATTGTTTTTTTATACACCAAAGTCATGAGTCCAGTAAATGGACATGTTATAATGATTAATGATTTGGATAAATGTGTGTCCTGTACTTCTGTGATTTATGCGGATGACTCCACTTTCTTAAATAGTCAAGGTACCTTTAGTGAACTCATGGTGCTGTCCAAACTTTCCCTCAATGAAGCTAGGAACTGGTTCAGTGTCAATGGGTTTTTTATGAATCCTGAAAAGACTCAAACTATTGTTTTTAGGTTAGGTCGCACACCTGAGGAAGAAAAGAATTTTTCGTCAAGTGTAAATTTATTAGGCATAGATTTGGATAGTGATTTAAGCTGGTCAACCCATTTATATAACTTAAGTAAGAAATTGTCAAGAGTTTTATTTTTAATTAGACGTCTAAGAGATTTTGTTCCTCCTTTGTATGTTAGATCTGCGTATTTTGCTTTTTTTCAAAGTCTGTTAAAGTATGGTCTGTTACTGTGGGGTAACTCCACCCACATTCTAATAATTTTAAAGCTTCAAAAAAAGGCTGTAAGACTGTTGACCAATTCAGGGTTGAGGGACCATTGTAAACCTCTTTTTAAAGCAACAGGTATCCTGACAACTGTAAATTTGTATATATTAGAGTGTGTTATTTTTGTAAAACAAAATTCACATTTCTTTAGCTCAAGAAATAATTTTCACTCATATTACACAAGGGGAAGATCTGCTTTGGATAGGCCCTACACCAGACTAACAACAGTACAGCAAAGTTTTGCTAGTATATCAGTAAAAATAGTAAATTGTTTTGCAAGTGAAATACTTGACATTCCTTGTACTCGGCTAAAACAAAAGTTGATGGTTTGGCTTGCTGACCACCCTTTTTACAGTTTAGATGAATTTTTTGCAGAATACAATTGTAATGGTAAAATTGTTATCTAGTTCTTACTTAGTCCCTAGTCAACTGTTACCTAGTCTTTCAAACACTTGTTTAAGTAGGTACCTCACTTTTGTTTCATATATATAGTTCTGTGTTTTTCAAATGATTTTAGCTTTATTTTCTTGTTGTCTTTGTTATATTTAAGTTTAGTGAAGATTCCATGTTATAGACCATGTTATACTATCTAGAATCTATGGCCCTTTTTTTGTTAACGAGGTCTATTGTAACATATGTTATTTAATGACCAATAAAGATTTATGATTTATGATTTAATGACCAATGTCATGCCAGTGAATGACCAGTCCTATGCCAGTGAATGACCGACTTCTGAAGGTTTAGTAAATGACTTATAAAATCAGTAATATACAAAAAAGGGGGATTTATATTGTTTAAAAATGTTAACAAAGCTTAAAAGAAAAAGCCTAATGCTATATAAAAACATTATCAGAAGTATATATAAAATTTAATTTTTGTAATCAAATTGGGTTTTTGTTTTATTGTAAAGAGATTTAAAAGTAGCATATAGTAGTTTGGCTGCAGATTTTTTGGGACTTCATGATGATTGTGATAACGGACTGGAGAGATAAGGAAGACACAAACACTGACTGATGGAAGTGATAAGAGTTTGGACTTGATTTCCCTTTTGTTTAATGAGCTGCAGACAAGCCATGTCAGGCTTTTGCAGCATGGTGTATAATGATCTGTAAAAATGTGTGTTCAATTAGTTTCAAATAAATAAATAAATAAAATATTTTACATGTAATGTAAAAGGAAAACATAGGCAGGCCTGATTAGCTGATGGAAAAACGTCCTTAAGTACCAAAGAAGAAATTCGATTGGGATAAATAGTAACTATGGTCTAAATAAAACACCAATCAATAACCATTTCAATGACAAATGTTTACTAGAAAAATAAGTAGATGACATCAATATAGAGTCCGGTTATTCACTGGTTAGGACAAAGAAAATGAATTATAATTTTAATCTGATATCGATAATTATATATCTTAATAATTTCTGAGCATTTTAATAGTAAATTGTAAATTTGAGTCCAAACCCAGTAAAAATGACTGGGTGGTCATTCATTGGTTTAACCCAGTAATTTGTTCCAGTATGTGACCGCTTGAATAAAAACTTTTTTTTTGGCTTACGTATGAAAACAGATAGCTTTAGATTCTGAATATTAAGTATTAGCCAAATAAATCGCCATTTCAACAGATTTTTTTCATAAAAATAAGGTTATGAAATATGTCTTACCTGCAGAGTTCTTATAGTGGCAGAAGCTAAAAACGAAAATTCAAAACATGTCCAAGCTAAATCATCAAAATAAACATAAATAATTAACAATAATAAAAAATTACGATTAAATATGAAGAATAGAGTAATATCTATTGTCTAAACTAGTTGTTTTCACTCCTGTATTAATTTAACTCTTATTATAGACTAGTGTTGTACCCGTGCTTTGCAACGGGAAGAGGACACAAAATAGAAACATTTTAATCATTATGTCTTGCATATAATAGTTACAGATCCGCCAACGCTTTTAGAAACAAAATTCAACTTTTATAGCCTTAATAGAAACGTTTAAGTTATGACTTTTAAATCTGTTAAGTAGTGGATACCACCATTTTGGTTTTGATTAATGATTTAGGGTGAAACGGTCATTCATAGGCAGCAGTCATTCACTGGGCAAGTCACCCTACTAAAGTATTAGTTTTTTTAAGCTATTTAAAAAGGTCTAGAGAAAAATTAGAAAATTTTGTGTTTTGAGGGTAAAAAATGAGAGAAAACATTTATTTACCACATAACCCCCTCCCCCCCCCCCCCCCCGTAAAACCCCGTTCGACCATGCTAGTTCGCAAACTCATTCAAGCTTATCCTGCCTTACTCCTTTTGACCAAATTTCATCAAAATTGGAGTAGTCATTAGGGCTACTATTTTGATATAGGCCTACAAATGCATTATTAAAAACTATGTACCCTTTTTGAAACTCTTTATTTTTTATTTCTCTTTTGTTTTATGTTGTTTAGTCAAATGACTTTAAAAAGGGTACATAGTTTTTAATAATGCATTTGTAAATCTTTATGTATATTATACATATATAAAAATTTGAATAAATGGTGTTTTTGACCTCTGGGGACATCAAAATGGTCCCAGGCCTAGGTCTTACCGTACCAACTTCTGTAATAGCTACTTCCCTATAGGGAAATTTGCTAAAACCAGTATATGAGTCTTATGAGAATTTAAAATGGGTAGAGGATACATAAAAAAATAAAACAACCAACATAACATTTTGGGGTAATAGAGTTTTAATATTCCAATAGCAACAATTAATAGCTTGTAAAAAATGTTTGATAGAATTGTATTTCTTGAACAAAGTCAATGGACGTATTGCAGTTAGTATGATAAAATGCATACACAGTAATACTGAGTGGAAGGATTTAATAGTTATATTAAAATAAAATACAACTGGTACAATCATGAAGTTGGCACAATGAAACGGTAATACATCACAGTTTCTTGAAATGTTAATCATTGACTGAACATCAACTTGTCTTTTGGTTGGCCTGACATTTTATGCCCAAGTGACATTATTTCTATCCGGCATTATAAGCCTAAGCAGCATTATGTCTCAACTTAAATATATTTAAATTCTTTTTACAATAGTTAATAAATAATTTTTGCTTCACAACTTGACACTGCGATGACTACTTCCTATTTCATAGCAAGAGTCAACTGCTCTTTGTTATGTGTTCTACAGTAGCCTAATATGTATCTGTCTCAATATTCATATCACTTAACCTCTTGCAGCAGTTGAGAAAAATAATGTTCTATAAACACTTGAATTTGGTCTCTTGAAACGGCTTGATTATTTAATTACATATCAACAATCCTTAACCTAAACAAATTGAAAATACTCTATATTCTTTCAGTATAAAATGAACTTGGTAAAAAATGCCATAAACTTGTGCAATGCCTTGGCCAGTGTTACTGTATATTATGTATTCACATAGAGAACAAGTGTGGTCCGATGTCATCCAACGTGTGACTCTTGGGCAGATTGTCCTTGTAGTGAGCTCTCAACATGCGGCTGAGGAGATCAGCATTGCTCTGCTCTAGTGCTTGTGTCTTGCGTCTCAATACTGCCAATTCACGAACCTCCTCTCTTGACTGGACCTCTGTACTCAACAACCTACAAACACCAATCAATTAAAATAAAAACACAAATGACCAGCTCAGTCAAGAGTATTTATTAATATGATACCTGTCCTTAGGCAAATTGGTTTATAAGTAGACTAGACATTCAAGTGGCAAGATCTTAGAATGGATCTTTAGGAAATAAAATGATGGGAGTAACCCAGAATCTTTGAGTGATTAAAGTTAATTTAATATCTCTGAATGTGCCTCTACATATTGTAAATATTACTCATACTTATATTCTCAACTCGTTAAGGTCACACAATGGTCACACTTTGCAATAACAAATTGGATCAGGCACTCCTTCTTAAGCTGAAACTGCCCTTGCCATTCTTGCCAATTTCCTTTGTTAAAGGTCCTATGTCTGATGATTTGATTAGTCCATCAATTACAATATGTTCAATTAACTTTGCGTTTTTGACCTATCACTCATCATCAATATAGTTTTCTATTGAATAAATAGGCCTAGCGATTAAAAATGTGTTTGAATTATACTGCTTTTGATTACTGAATTTGATGAAATAAATTACAGCCTATTTTATAATTGAGTGTTAATTGGAGTAATGTGTAAATGCATATAACCCAAATGCAATGCATATACTATAGAGTTCCACTATTTCAAACTTACTGGGACCAAACCCTGTTCGGATTAGCGGGAATTAAGAATAAGCAGATTTCTGTAATAATTGATCATCGTGATCGCAGAGAGGATTACATATCCTGGAGTCTGGAAGATGTTCACAATTTCACCGTGAGCACAGAAGATGTTCTCGATTTCATATTAGTTTCCAAAATGCAGTTTGGAATAGACAGATTTGTAAATAGCACTATTTTATTTATAAAATCCTCTGCCAAACAATGAAATTATTAAACTTTTCCAAATCATGGCCATGATGTAACAGACCTTGAAGCAATGTTTCTTTTTTCCTCTTGAAGTCGACGATAGTCAGTCTCCACCTGCTTGCGGAACATTTCTTCAGCACGAAGCCTTTGTCTCTGAACACTCAACTGTGCTTGCAGAGTCTGTACCTGGCACTGCCCTGCATCCAACCGACCCCTACAACAGGAACGCTTTCACAGTTTTATTTCAATTTTTTTACAGTGCAATTTTCAATTTTTTTCTTATCTTTTTTTATTGCATTTATTATATTCAGAATTATTAACTACCTAAAACAAGCACAAAGATGGGATTAGAAAAACAACTTTCATCGTTTTAATTTAATACAAGTTCTTATGCAACTTGCTGATGTGTAGAGATTAGAGTGATTTTAACATAGAAAACCCAAATGCAGCATATTATTTAGCAGTATTGAGTATACACATCCTGCTACTTCAACTCATTAGGGAAAAATAAATTAAATTTGTCAAGGTTTTTTATCCCCATAACCAGTAAGGGTTTGCGTAGCTGCAGAAATTTTTTGATTCGATGCAACGATTCGATACAACCAATTTTGGATTAGAAATTAGAATCGATGCATTTCGATTCAAATCAACACAGCATTTTTCAATTTATACTTGTCAATAGAGTGAATTGTCAATGGAGTGAATTGTCAATGGAGTGAATTGTCAATGGAGTGAATTGTCAATGGAGTGAATTGTCAATGGAGTGAATTGTCAATGGAGTGAATTGTCAATGGAGTGAATTGTCAATGGAGTGAATTGTCAATGGAGTGAAATGACATCAATTAAAATTTACCAGATTTGTGTTCAGCATTTTTTTATACTAGGTGAAACCCGTCGAAATCGATGGTTGCTTTAAAGGCTTATGCTAATTCATCTAACTGCGATAAATAGAGTGAAATTATAAAAAAAATTGAGCATCTATATAAATAAAATTACAGTTTTGTCTGTACATTGCTTAGAATCATACAGTTTTTGGTTATTTTTACGTTTCATAGCCTAAGAAAGCCGAAACGAGTTTTATCTTAATTTCTGTCTGTCTGTCTGTTTGTCTGTTTGTCCATTCTGTGGTTCTGTCTGTAACGCCAAAATGCTATTTTATGCGGCCTACTCCTAGAAAACTAGAGTACCGATCAAGGTTCTAATCATTTTTCTGTATTTACTTGAATGGTGACAGTGTCTTTGGCTATAAAAACATGGCCTCGCTTCTTTGAAAGCAAAATAACGAACAATCAAAAACCCAATTTTGTTCGATTTTTGTCAAATTTTATCCCAATGTTTACTATTACTTTTATGAAATAACGATCAGCTGTTTGGATTAGTTCTCACTTCTAGCTGTCACTGATATGTTTACATTAAAAGTTGTTTACAAATACCGCAACCATTTCCGATCAAGTTTTGTTAGCACATTCAAACCAAGTGAGATTTAAAACATTGTGCCTTACTTAACCGGTTTAATTAATCGCAAGTGCAACGATTGTTCTTGAGTTTTGATAACCGGGGAAAATACTGCGAATCAGTGTTGTATTAGTGATGGGAAACTTACATTTTTTAATCATCGTCACTAATAGCTTACAAAAAAGGTTCCCACTCATTCACGGCGCTTCAACGACAGTTGTGTAAAGTGCAAAGACTGCAAAGTAAAAAATCACAACTGCAGTGGGTGATCGTGGATGTTGCTGCGATCTTGGAAGATCTTTCTGATTTTGCTGTGATCGTAACAAGCAGAGGTTTAACTTACAGATGTAGCTAAACTCGCTTTTCCAATGTGTCACTTTGGTTTCTACTTACTTACATTTCGACAACGATATCGGTACTTTTCCTACTTAAGAAGTAAAACTACAAACGTCCAAAACCCCAGATTTATGCGTTTTTTGTCACATTTCCTCAGAATATTTGCTAGATATATGTACCGATTATCGTTTAGAGATTACGTAATCTTTTAAATAAGAAACCTTTGTTTGGATAAAGGTGGTTTCTTCAAACTGTCATTAATATGTTAACAAGCAAATAATGCTATTAATGGGAAATAACTTTGATTTTCGAAAACTAAAAAAAAAAAAACCAAGGGATATTAATAACTTTGGTACTGCACCACATTAAGTGAAAGTTTTTTTTGAGCAAACCATAGTGAGTATTTATTTATTTACCAACGGATTAACATCTATAATACAGTTTGATTAGAAGGACAGTTTGAATTGGTTGTAAGTACTATAGTTCTTTTCTTAAATGAAAACGTTGGTTTTTGGTACTGCTACTTTTCCTTAGACCCGGTGGTAGCATTAAGAATCATTTTTACGTACAAACACATCACTGTTTACAACTATAGTTATCATTAGTGCTGCACCTTATTTCTTATAAAATTTAATTGATGTCTTACTGTATAATTTTTGCATTTTCTGTCTGGACTCCAAAATGTTAGTTTATTCTATGAAAATGATAAAACATTAGTGAACGATTTTTTTTAGCAAACAATCATGAATTTTTAAAGCTTGGCGTTGATAACGTATCAATGTTTTGTGGACTCTGTGTATTTATTTACTTATTTATATATTTGCCAACGGATTTACCCACCGATTTTTACAGTTTGATTAGGCCTAAAGACGATTATCATAAAATTTGACGACACTATCAAAACTTTCAAATAATTATTTTGTTTGTAATTTGCTTTGGTTAAAGCGTAGCAAATCCCCTAATTCAATTTCATATTTGTGTGAGTATGTCTGTTGGTAACGCATTAATGTCCTTATTTCTCAGTGTTTCGTGGAAAAGGCAAGAGCGCCTTTGTTAATGAAAATTTCAACCCGAATAAAGTGAATTAGTAAGTCGGTGGCTCAGTCGGTAGCGTCGCGGTCTTCGGGCCCAAGGCAGCGATGTCGTGGGTTTGGATCCTGGTCACTGCCACTAAAATTTTTCAGTACAGTTCACCTTTGTACTGTACCGCCTTGCTTTGCTGTAAACGTTCCACGCACGGGCGGTTAGTCTATGTGGACGGGCAAATGTAAGGCTAAAAGAGGCCACCAACCTATTTTTCAAAAGTAAAGTAGTAAAGTAAAGTGTGCAGTAGTGAGGTTGAGGTAGTATTATTTTAACTACTTTTAACCAGTGTCAAAAGTAACTTTCAATTACAGGCCTACCTTAGGGCTATGCCTCATAGATCTATAAAGCAATTCCTTTTACAAATGCAAGGTTAAAAGAGGCCGCCAACTTCTTTTTTAAAAGTAAAGTAGTAAAGTAAAGTGTGCAGTAGTGAGATTGAGGTAGTATTTTAACTACTTTTAACCAGTGTCAAAAGTAACTTTCAATTACAGGTCTACCTTAGGGCTATGCCTCATAGATCTATAAAGCAATTCCTTTTATCATTAGATATAAAATATGGACTAAAACGATCGGGTGACATTTAATTGCGAGGCATTCGCTTTGGCTTTGAAACTGTCAGATATTGTATTTGCGAAGGTTTATATGTATTCCTATACAGTAATAGTTTTGCCAGCATATCTGGAAAAATGCACACTAAATATGCAAACCAACTCCTGTTCTGAATATAAGGTTTCTACTTACTACAAGATTCCCGTACGTAGAACGGGCAAACAGCTAGTTATCTAATAAATATCTATTAACACCTTCAGTGCGATGGGTGCCGATCGGCGGCTGAGCGGTGTCCGGGTACACGTGCGGCGGACGCCTATAGGCGCTTTGTGTAGCATCATGTTTGGCGCCAACATATCAGCTGATCGTTCATTTCACGTGTTTTTGCGCTACGGTGTGTTGTTGTTGAAGAGTTAGGTTATGTTTTACTGGTGATCGTTCATAGTTTTGCAATAGTTCGTAATAGTTAAAATTATGGATGAAAATCCAGGACCTTCAAACCGTAAAAAACATGTGACAGTGATTACATCAATGTAGACGATCTTACTGTTAGTGAGATCGACCTATTGTATTACGACTCTGATGAAGATTATGTTTCATCACAGGAGGATGCTTTTGATGATGGTGAAGATTGTGACCAAGTCCCAGAAAGTGATTATGACAGTGATGACAGTCAACAAAACGGTGATATTAGTAGGCCTACAAGTGATTTAGGTGAAATTGACACAGTGTTCAATAACAGTAACAACCCAGTTTCAACTCAAGATCAACTGGACTTTGACCCAGACCCCGTTCAGCCGGAAGACCGTCCAACTCAGGCAGCTACAAGAGGTAGGCCTACAGAAGACGACCCTGTTCTGCCGGAAAACCGACCAACTCAAGCAGCTACAAGAGGTAGGCCTACAGAAGACGACCCTGTTCAGCCGGAAGACCATCCAACTCAGGCAGCTACAAGAGGTAGGCCTACAGAAGACGACCCCGTTCAGCCAGAAGACCATCCAACTCAGGCAGCTGCAAGAGGTAGGGCTAAAAAAACTCAACCTCCTAAGTACAAATGGTCACCTAATTGGGCTAATTGTAACTTAGTTGATGACATTCATTTTACAAAAAAAAAAAAAAATGAGCTTTTAGTCCCATACCTGGCAATAATACTCCAGTTGACTATTTTGAAATGCTAGTGGAAGATTTGTTTTTAGTAAAAAAAATAGTAAAAGAATCTAACAGTTACGCCTTGGAAACATTTTTTGGTAGATCAGATCTGTTGGAGCATTCCCGAATCAATAAGTGGACTGACATTACAGTAAGTGAGCTCAAAATATTTTTGGGTTTAATTATACACTTGGGAACTATCAAAATGCCAAGGCTTTCCGATTACTGGAAAACAGATCCATTGTTTTTGTCAGTGTTTCCCCAATGAGCAGAGATAGATTCTTCCTAATACTGTGCCACCTTCATTTCAACAACAACAATGATGGGAATGACAAGTTGTTCAAAATTCGTCCAGTGATAGACTATCTGAACAACCGAATGTCCGAAATATATTATCCAGTAAGGAATTGAGCTTGGATGAAGCAATGATTCTCTGACGTGGACGTTTACAATTCAGGCAATATATAAAAAATAAACGCCACAAGTACGGCATCAAGATTTACACTCTTTGTGAGCCAAATGGCCTGGTCTTGAACACTATCGTGTATACAGGTCAAAGTGGTGAACTTGGTGGCAAGGGACATACTACCAAAATTGTAAAAGCCCTCATGAAAGGTAGAGAGAACCACGTACATTCAT